AGAGCATTTGCGTCTCTGCAGGTGACTCTGGCCCAAGCAATCTTCTGGAAAATGGGTTAATAAATAAATATACTGTGCCTCTGTGTCTTGCATGTTGGATCCTGGCTAGGTCAGCTCCTGGCCCAGGTCCTCCCATGTCCCACCTGCCCTCAGATCCCCTCCTGCCAGCAGCTGCCAGAACCCTCCAGCAGGAGGAGAGACAGACATAGCTGGGGAGGTGATGTGTGGGTTGCCGAGCAGAAGAACAGGTGGTAGCAAGACAAGGAGTGAGTCGGGTGATGGGACACAGTGCGTCACCCCTGGTAGTCTCTGTCTCTGGCTTCCTTGGCCCACACTTTTAGGGTGATGCTTCCTGGAGCCAGGTCTTCGAGACATGTCATCACCAAGTATGACAAAGTGTGAGACGAGGAGTAGAACCAGACCCATGGGACCTGGCTCCCTGCCATCTCCCCTCTTCAGCTGGGTCCCAGGGCCCCAAGCCAGTCCCTGAAGGTCATGCTGACCGCACCTCTCCAGCTCTAGAGGCCACAGCACCTTGTTATTTGGGGTCTAGGCTGCCTTATCCCCCTCCTCATCTCAGACCATCTGGCCTTGGGCCATCTTTCTGCCTTATTTAGCTGCTGATCTTCATGCCACCTCCCTTGCTCAGGGGAACATGAAACATGCTGGAAATGGCGCTCAGAAAGAACAGTGTTGTCAGTTCAAACTCAGACCCGTCATTGTCTCCTGTCGGTCATAACCATCTGGGGCTAGGCTCCCCATGTGAACGGCACTCCAGGCTCCCAGAGTTTGAAGAACAACTTTGGTTTTTGGGTGGGGTACTTAAGTGAGCCTCAGGCATCCTCCAGTTGAGACGCAGGAGGAGGAGGAGGATGGAGAGAGCAGGACTCTGACTCCGTGTGGGAGAGGCAGGGAGGGACTATGCTAGAGTCCTGATGCCCTCCTCCCCCAGAAGGCAGGGGCTGCACCAAAGGGCCAGCCCCAGGAAATAGCCCTGCCCTCTCCTTTAACATCCTCCTGGCCCAGAGGAGGAAGGGGAGGGGTGTGGTGGGGATGTTGGAGCCCCCCTTCTTTCCTGCTGAAGAGGCAGGGGAAGGGTTAACTCAAAGCAGTGGGTCTCCAGCACTGGCTCCAGATCTGCACTTCCTGGGGGCAGGCAGGAGGCAGGCCTCCCACCTCTCAGTGCACCACCTGCCCGGCCAGCAGGAAGGGGTTAACCTGCCCTGCGCTTCCTCCTGTGTCCTGTTACTGCTGAAGCAGACCTGCCGGGCCAGCTGAGCAACTTTCCTCCGAGTGCTGCCAGGCGCTGGCTAGGAGGCAAACGCACGCGGGAAGAGCTGCTACCCATTCCAGGGACCCTGCTGCTGCCCCTCTGAGGGGTCCATGCCTCCTGAGAGCAGGTGGGTCTCTGGGACAAGGGTCTATGGTGGATGGCTCTGGAGACGCTCCTGAGGCTGTGCCGTTCCCCTGCCGCACACATCGGAGGGTCACCGCAAAGGCTACCCAGGCCAGGGCTGGAGCCGAGAGAGCCTACACTGGAGGTAAGCTTCCTCCCTGGCCCCCTCCCTAGCAGTGGCGGCCCGAAGGTGGGGGTTGGTGGGGAGCAAAGAGTGGGCTTGGGGCTTAGTTTCTTTCCCAGGTGCGAGGGAGGAGGCTGAGTTGTGGAGGACCTAAGGGCTTCTTTCCTGCCACCCCTCCCTCCCTGCAGCGCCCAAGGACTCAGGGCCCCCTCCCTATCCCATCCTGGGACTAGGGATCTTTGGTGGCATTCCCCATAGATTCCTTCTGCACATCTCTGTGTTTCCTCTTCCTCAGCCCCTCATGCTCACCTCTAGCCTCAGGGCTGCCCCCTCTCCCGCCCTGCACCTCCCATGCCCCCAGGATGCAGCTATTCCAGGGCTGATAGAGTGGCCAGAAGCTTAGAGCACAAGCTCAACTCCTGTCCCTACAGCGTTAATAAGGGCACTGTCATTCCCTACTGCTCAAGCTGGACTTGATTTGGGGGCAGGGGCTGGAGCCCGCCTTAGCAGAGGATGGGAAGGGGCTGCGACCAGCGGGCGGGTGCACAGACTTTGCACAAACTCAGGCACGGGGACTGCACAGATCTGGGTTCTTTCCATCTCTCTGAACCCCCAATGGGTATGAGCGATCTGCATTTTTTGGTCCTGACTTTTGGGAAACACTCCAGGTCCTGCCATCCTGCAGGTCCTAAGAGGAGCAGCCCCTCCCCACTACGCAGTTCTCCTTGGGACCCTGTGTGTGGAGAGAGCTGATACTCCGTTCCCACCCCACCCCTGTTGGCCCTGCTCCCATCCCCCAGCCTCCTCCCTCCTCTGCCCTCTCCCTCATCTCTGAATTGGCCTCTCAGGCCCTGCCTTCTCCGTGCCCTTCCCTCCACCTGACAGGGTCTGGCTCAAGGTCACTGCAGTAATTCCATACCCAGCTGCCCAGTGCTGCCGCTGCTACCGCCACCACCGCTGCCTTATCAGCCACTGGGTTTCTGTTTCACTCCCTTTTATTTCTGGGCACATTGTGTTCGATAAAACCCTTTGCTTGTAACACTGCTGGCAGGCTCCCAGCTGCTCCCTCTCGCCTTCCTTTCCTCCTCCCCTCTCTGTGCTCTAGCAGCCTCACCTTGGCCCTTCCTCCCACCTTGTCCCCTCAAACTCCGGAGAAGGAAAACCAAAGTGCCTCCCTTTGTCTCTGACCCCGCCCTTCCCCAGCTCCTGCAGGGGTGTGCAGAGAATGCCCACCTTCTGGAAGAAAGGTCCAGGCAGGGCCGCTGGGCCCACACCAAGAGATCCCTCCCACTGAGGCTGGTGCTCCCACCCGGGCCAGGCAGGAGGGCCAGGGCAGCCAGGTCCAGGTAGGGCTCTGGTGGAGTCACAGTGCCCAACTGGTTCTGCTAGTTCCAGCGGCCAGCAGATAGGGGCGGCCAGCAGGGAGGGGCGTGTGCTGGGCGGGCTTTGGTTCGCACTATTTCCCATCTTCACTCTGCCACCCCCAGCCACGGGTTGGGGAGGTGAAGGCAGGTCTGAGTCACTAGCAAGGGGGAGGGCAGGGGTTAAACTAGTTGTGGCCGTGGCATCCCCACAGAAGGCCTGCCACCCACTGGAAGGAAAGACAGCAGACAAAAGGTAGGCCTCGCTGTGGGCCAGGCCCTCCACCTCGCTGGCTCCCACAGGCTCCTATTCTCTGGGCTCCCAGCAAAACCTGCCAAGGCCTGTGGGGCCGCTTTGAACTGAGCCCAGCACTGGCAGGGCCGGTGTGGAAGGAGCGTGGAATCGGGTGGGGGAGGAGAGTCTCCTTTAGATTCCTGCTTCTGGCAGCCTGGGGACCAGCTGGGGCATGGGCTGGGATGGACAGTGGAGCTGAGAGGTGTTTGGTGGGTGGGGGCAGTTCACAGGTGAAGTGAGGCCTGTGCACACACCAGTGCGAGCGAGGGAGGAAGGGCAGTGGCCAGGGCATTCCTCTTTTGGTTTCTAACAGGGCCTTGGGAGGACCTTGGCCTGGGGTTGCATTCAGCAGCCAGCCTGGACCTGCGGCTGTGGGGAGGGAATTGGGCTGGCCCAGCTCCTCTCCCTGCTGGGGTACCAGAGGTTCACCATGTGTTCGGGGCTTTGGAGAACCCAGACAGCTCCTACTCTCAGGGAGCTTCCGTTTCAGCTCAGAAGGTGGGACTGAGACAGTAAAGCAATCCGATGAATGAATGACCAAACTGGGTAACACTGACAGTAAGCATTGGATTAGTCTTCTGGAAACTTAGATGTTAGTCAAGGCTGTGCCACCCAAGTGACATAGGACACAGGCAGGTCCCATCCCCTCTCTGGCCTCAGCGCTTTCGTGTGTACAGAGGGGTGGCACTGATGGTGGCAGTGGCCAGATCTCTGAGGGGTAGCTTTCCTCAAATGATCCTTGCTCTCCTGCCTTCTGGCCCAGCTCATAGCATTTCTTCTGAGCTGCCTTCCCTGACTTGCTGGTTCACTCCTCCTCACTCTTCTCTTGGATCTTGGATCTCAGCTCAGCCACCACCTCCTCCAGGAAGTCTCCCCTGATTTTCCTGGCTTGGGTCTTCCTGTGCTGCTCTGCACTCCCACACTGGACTGTGATTTTCTGTACTCTCACAACTGAACGTGGGTGTACCAAGGCGTGTGTTCTGTGCCTGGCATAGTGCCTGGCTCAAAAAAGGCCTCCAGGAAATAGGTGTTGAATGCATCAAACTACAAAAATTAACAATATGAGAAAAGTGAGCTGAGGAGCTGGGAAGGATAGGTCTTAAGCTAGATCTCACAGGAATAGAGGAGGTGGACAAGCAGAAGCAAGGCAAGCAGGCATTCCTGGAATCCTGTTAGTGTGCCCCCATGAGGCCGTGCCCTCTTAGGTGGGGCTTCCTGGGGTCATCCCGGTCCCCCACGTAGCAGCTCTGTGATCTTGCACAAGTCACTTAATATTACAGGGTCTCGATCTGTTGCCCAGGCTGGAGTGCAGTGGCATAATCCTGGCTCACTGCAGCCTCCAGCTCCTGGCCTCAAGCAGTCCTCTTGCCTTGGCCTCCTAAAGTCCTGGAATTACAGGCATGAGCCATCATGCTGGGCCCATTTAATACTCTTTGAGCCCCACCTTTTCCATCTGTGGATGGAGATAACGATAATAGCATCTTTGTGGTGTGACTGTGTAGATAGACAGGTGAGCATGCATGGCTACAAGTGCCTGCTGAATTATAAGTGAAATAAGAACATGTGCTGCTGAAGTCTTTTCCTGGATGAAGGGACACTCTGGCCAGGCCTCATTTAGTTGGTCAGGGCTGAGTGACCCGTGAGGTAGGCCTGTGCCCCTGAGTTCCAGGCTCTCTCTTCCTCAGCTCCATGTGGAACCCAAGGACACAGCCACTTTGCTAAGAACACGGCAACCCATCCTTCAAGACTGTGACCTCGCCACGGTGGCCCTCAGCCCTCCACCTCCAGCGGGGGCGAGGGCCACCCACTTCCAAGTCTCCAGCCATGACGACCTCCGCGCTCCGGCGCCAGGTGAAGAATATCGTGCACAACTACTCTGAGGCGGAAATCAAGGTGCGCGAGGCCACCAGCAATGACCCCTGGGGCCCCCCCAGTTCGCTCATGTCTGAGATTGCTGATCTGACCTTCAACACAGTGGCCTTCACTGAGGTCATGGGCATGCTGTGGCGGCGGCTCAATGACAGTGGCAAGAACTGGAGGCACGTGTACAAGGCCCTGACATTGCTGGACTACCTGCTCAAGACGGGCTCCGAGCGGGTGGCCCACCAGTGCCGCGAGAACCTCTACACCATCCAGACGCTCAAGGACTTCCAGTACATCGACCGTGACGGCAAGGACCAGGGCGTCAATGTGCGCGAGAAGGTCAAGCAGGTGATGGCCCTGCTCAAGGATGAGGAGCGGCTACGGCAGGAGCGGACCCACGCCCTCAAGACCAAGGAGCGCATGGCACTGGAGGGCATCGGCATTGGCAGTGGGCAACTGGGCTTCAGCCGCCGCTACGGCGAGGACTACGGCCGCTCCCGTGGCTCTCCGTCCTCCTACAACTGTGAGCCCCCCGGTGTTTGGCTGGGATGGGGAGGTGGCCTGACTTCCAATCCTGGCTCTGCAAGCCGAGCCATGGTTCATAATACCTACCTCTGAGGGGTGTTACGAGGATTCAGACATGAGGAATGTAACATGCAAGGCACAACATCCGGCACATGGGAGGTGCTCAGCATGTCAGCTCAGATAATAATGATGTTGATTCATTATCATTTGTTAGCTGCCTGATAGAATGGGGGATGGTGGAAGCATCGGCTTTGGAGTCAGATAGCATTCTTTATTCTGCTTCCTCCAAGCTATGTGACCTGGGCAACCAGTTCTCTGAACCTCAGTTCCCTCATATGTACAATGAGGATAAGGTCACCTACCTCCATCATTTGATCTGAGAATGAAATGAGACCAGGCAAAGGAATTCCCTCTACTCCGTGCCCAGACACATGGCATCCCCCTTTATCCCCTACCTGAGGGCAGCTGCAGATAGTCCCTGACTCTCCTGCCCCCAGTGGTGGGGGCTTCCTGGATCTGAGTACTCAGAATGGCCCTCCTTCCATAAAGCCCTTGACAATTAGCTGAGGGCTTTGAGGCTGTGACCTCGTTGGACTACAAGCTCCTATCCTTGCATTCCCCTTTCCCCTCAAGCAGGATGGGGTCTGTCTGGAAGTCCAAGAGCTAGAGTCAGGAAACCTGGGCTCAAGTCCTGCTTCAGGACCCTGGTCAGGTGCCATGTGGCTGCCTGTGCATCTGCCAAGGAGGGACTGGAGCCATCCCACCAGGGAGGGATGGGGAACTTACAGTGGCCGGCACACTGCCTGGCCCATGGGGGCCTCCACGGCCTGTTGCTCCCCTCCTCTCAGTTCTCTTCCTTGAGCCTCAGCTTCCTGGCAGGCAGGGGGTGTGGGAGATGCTGGGTAATGGCGTGGTCACAGAGCCATGATGATCGTTGCAGCCTCCTCTTCATCACCCCGCTGCACCTCCGACCTGGAGCAGGCCCGGCCTCAGACATCAGGGGAAGAGGAGCTGCAGCTACAGCTGGCCCTGGCCATGAGCCGCGAGGAGGCGGAGAAGGTGAGGCTACATGGCTCCCAGCTATGGTGAGGAGGGGATGGGCCAGGAGGGAGAGTACCTGGGTGTCCCTCAGCCTTGACTCAGGATCTGTCACCTGAAGCCTGACTCCTGCTCCCAAGGACAGCACAAGGCCCACTAGTTCCTTTGGTTTGTCGCAGGCAGGGACTGCCTCCCTGCCTCTAGTCCTTTCCACTGGACCTGGGAAGGGTGGGGAGTGTGCAATTAGGGGCACATGGCATGTTTTGGGGGAGCCTGCTACCACCTCATGGTTGGGGGTGGGTGCTCAGACACTGACATATGTTGCCCCCCCACCAGCTGTCCATTTGGGGAGACAAGGATGGGCCCCCGATATCATTATCTTTGCCATTACCTCTGTGGATCCAGGAAGACCAGCCAGGAAGCAGCTGGGCCCCACACAGGAGGGCAGTGGAAAACTCTCAGAGGATTCAGAAGCTAAAGATCAGTCTTCTTCATCTTTAAACTGCATTTCAGATACAGGCAGGGAAAAGGCCACACTCACCCTGCTGAGGGGCAAACCGCCCATGCACACTCAGGGTGGGCATCTGTCTCTCCAGCCCCACCACCCAGGCAGGGCTATACTGCCCTTCTGGTCCCAGGGTGGGGGTACAGGGCCAAGCTCACCCCTCTCTTCCTCCACAGCCTGTCCCCCCAGCCTCCCACAGGGACGAGGACCTGCAGCTGCAGCTGGCTCTGCGCCTGAGCCGGCAGGAGCACGAGAAGGTAGTGGGCCGAGCCCGCAGGGCCTCCGGTGCTGCTGCCGCTGCTGGTGGAGGTGCTTCAGGGCACTAACAGGCTCCTCCCACTGCACGCGGTGGCGCTGCTGCTCCTAACCTCTCAGCTGCCTCCCACCCTGCTCTCGCTCCTCGACTCCTCGGGTGCACAGGTCCCGGGAGTCTTGGCTGCTAATCCTCCTGACTCCTTCTGTGCCTTCTGCAGGAGGTGAGGTCCTGGCGGGGTGATGGCTCCCCCGTGGCCAACGGTGCAGGGGCTGCTGTCCACCATCGGCAGGACAGAGAGCTCGAGAGAGAAGAGAGAAAGGAGAAGGAGAAGCTAAAATCCAGCCAGGTAGGGAGTGGGCTGGGGCACATAGGCGGGACAGGGCCTAGGAGATGGGCTGAGTATTTGTAAAGAGAGAGCAGAGCAGTGCTTGGCATATAGTAAGCACTGACATGTTTATGAGATGAAATGGGGGTGGGGTGTAGCGGCCCTAGTCTCACACTGCAGGGTCTGGGGACTGAGCTGACAGCAAAGTGGGATGCAAAAGGATCCTGATCAGAGAACCCTGGATTGGGTTCTGGATTTGCTGCCACTTACTCTATGACTTGGGGCATATCACTGTCATGGCCTCAGTTTCCCCTTTTGCACAGTGTGCTTGTTGGATAGTACCAGCTCTGACATGCGAGGATTATGCAATACTGTTGATCAAGACTAGGGTGGCCCAAGCACATGGTGTTGAACACACCTTGGGCTCGTGGATGGATTTTCCCCGCGTTGGGGGCAGGCAACTGCGGAGTGCACGGCTGCCCTCCAGAGCCGTCCCTGCCGCGCCCAGGTGCTGTGGCCTTCTTTCCGCCCATGTTCACTGTGGCAGTTTCTCCTGAACACTGACCCAGGGGTCGGCTGGCTGAAAAACATCTGCCTTTGCCCTTCCCACCCCTTCCTGCCAGCCTGAATTCTATCCCAGCTTTGCCTCTCCCTGGCTGTGTGACTTCAGGCAAACCCATTCCACTCTCTGGGCCCAGCTGGCTCATCTATAAAATGGGTACATCATCTGCCCTACCTACCTCACAGGGTTGTTATGAAAATCAGGTGCTCTGTGGATGAAGAAACATTATAAAGTGTAAAGCACTGTGCAGAAGAGAGGGATAGTGACTAGGTATCTGTGGAATGAATAAAGAGAATAAGCTGGCATTAGGCTGACGGGTCAGGGCCTGCCCTCCCTCGGAGCCCCGCCCACTTCTGAGCCCCGGATGCCTCTCCCCTCCACAGTCCTCCATCCTGGACTTGGCCGACATCTTCGTACCTGCCCCGGCCCCGCCCTCCACACACTGCTCTGCTGACCCATGGGACATCCCAGGTGGGCATGCAGGGCTGCAAGAGACTTCCAGGCTGGCCCCAAAGCCCTCTCCTTCCCAGACACTTGCTGGCAAAGCACTACCTCCGCCCAACACCTGACTGTCACAGGGCAAGTCACTCACCACCATGCTCCTCTGAGGCCTGTGGGACAGGCTTTTGTAGTGCGGGCTGGGGAGCATGTCTGAAGAGCTCAGCTCCTAGGAAACGCAGCAAAGTTTCTCTCACTGCACTCACTTGCTCAGCCTGTCCCTGCCTGGGAAGGTGGCCTGAGTAGCCCATGCCTGCAGGTCCCAGCTTCTGGGGTCACTCACCAAATACGGGCTCCAGCCTGCTGGGTGGTTCTGAGGCCACAGTCCCTCTATGACATGGATCCCCTGACTCCCAGCTCGGGCTGGGTAACTGGGAAGGGCCCTGGGTGAGGGCTAAGGATGGGCTTGGGGTCATGTCTGTGCTGTTCCATTTCAGGTCTTAGGCCGAACACAGAGACCAGTGGCTCCTCCTGGGGGCCTTCTGCAGACCCCTGGTCTCCAATCCCCTCAGGAGCCATCCTATCCCGAAGCCAGCCATGGGACCTGACTCCCAAGCTGTCCTCCTCTGAGCCCTGGGGCAGGACCCCAGTGCTGCCTGCTGAGCCCCCCACCACAGATCCCTGGGCACTCAACTCTCCCCATCACAAACTCCCCAGCACTGGGGCTGACCCTTGGGGGGCCTCCATGGAGACCTCCGATACGCCTGGTAAGAAGAGGGCCAGAAGGTGTGAGTGAGGGGCTGGAGCATTCCAGGTCCCCTTCCCTCCAGGGCCAAGAGGGCAGCAGATTCTGTTATGAGGGCAGCTTCCCTGGAAAGGGGTCCGACCAGTACCTGCCCTTTTTGCCATCCCATCTCCTCTCCCTCTCTCTCTTCGGCTAGCTGTAGGTGATGCTTCAGCCTTTGACCCATTTGCCAAACCTCCAGAATCCACAGAGACCAAGGAGGGTCTGGAGCAGGCCCTGCCTTCTGGGAAGCCCAGCAGCCCTGCGGGTGAGCAGAGCAAGGGGATGGGGCGGCTCTGGAGAAACAGGGGCCCACCCCGGGCAGCGTCTATCCTCTTCCTACCACGTTGGACGCCAATCCCTCTCCCCACCAATGAGCTCTAGCATTTCTATTCCAGAGCTGGACCTGTTTGGAGACCCCAGCCCCAGTTCCAAGCAAAATGGCATGAAGGAGCCAGATGCCCTAGACCTGGGCGTACTGGGGGAAGCACTAACCCAGCCAAGAAAAGAGGCCCGAGCTTGCTGGACTCCCGAGTCCTTCCTGGGCCCGTCGGCCTCTTCCTTGGTCAACCTTGATTCGTTGGTCAAGGCGCCCCAGGCTGTGAAGACCCGGAACCCCTTCTTGACAGGTAGGACGTTCCCCTGACCCAGGGGCCTCTGCTTTCAGAGCCCAGCCTCAGCAGGAGAGCTCCCTCTCCTTCCCCACTTCCAAGACCTCCTGGTATAGGATAGCGATCGGTACCCCGGGCCGCTCCAAGCCACTCTCATTCTGCAGGTCTCAGCGCTCCGTCCCCTACCAACCCGTTCGGCACAGGAGAGCCGGGCAGGCCGACGCTGAACCAGATGCGCACCGGGTCGCCGGCGCTGGGCCTGGCGGGCGGGCCCGTGGGGGCGCCACTGGGCTCCATGACCTACAGCGCCTCTCTGCCCCTCCCGCTCAGCAGCGTGCCAGCCGGCGTGACCCTCCCCGCCTCGGTCAGCGTCTTCCCGCAGGCCGGAGCCTTCGCGCCGCCCCCCGCGGGCCTGGGACAGCGGCTGCTGCCCACGCCCAGCTCAGCCGGGCCCAGGCCCCCGCCCCCACAGAGCGGCACCAACCCCTTCCTCTGAGCGCCGCTCCGCGCTGGGCCGATCTGCGCCTGCGCCGGGCGCACCGAGGCCCCTCCTCCGGACCGGGACTGGGCGGGGCGGCGGGGCTAGTGGATCGCGATTCCCGCGGCGGCTCCGGAAGCTGGACATGGACCACGGCCCGGGAGCTAGAGACTGATCGCCCCATAATAAAGACTGGAACGCTCGTTTTCAGCTCTCACCAAGTGGACTTTTTGCGGGGTGTGGCTGCCGGGTCCGGACCACAGAGTGGATTACCGGCTGCCGAGGATACTGCAGCTGCACAACGTGGGGTGTAAAACTGCCCCCATTTGCTTTCCAGCTCCTCTCAACCCTCACCTCCATCCCCCGTCATCCTGGCACCTTCGCTTCCAGACGCTTCCAGGCTGTCACTCAGTCGGTCATTTCATTCATTTATCACACATGGGCACTGGGGCTGAGCTAACAGCAAGAGACAATAGGCCTTTGTTCCTATTTATTGGGTACTTACTACTTATGTGCTAAGCAGATCAGTTTGTTTAATCCTTGCAACGACTCTCTGAGGCAGATAATATTGTTAAGTCCTTCAGGACCCCAGCTACATCATTTGTGGGGCTCAATACAAAATGAAAATGTGAGGGCTCCTTGTTTAAAATCGGGTGAAGAATTTCAAAACAGGGACAGCAGAGCATGAAATCAAGCGCAAAGCCCACCGAAGTGCGATTGCACGGGTCTCCCACCCCTATAGCTGGCCCTACTCCCATTTTTCAGGCGAGGAAACCAAGGCTCAGAGAGGTTAAATGGCATGCTCAAAGTCACAAAGCTGGCACGGGGCGGGGCTGGAATTCAAAGTCAGACAGTCTGGCTCCAAGGCAGGGAGCTCCCAGACTGAGCCCCAGATTTAATTCAGCAAATATTGACTGACGGCTGTGGACAAAGTGCTGGGCTCACCTGGGAGGGATCCAAGAATTGCTAAGCTAAGCTCGAGAGTAGCAGAGTAGACAAACCAAGGGGCTTGTGATGCGGCTGTGGCAGGAGCCAGGTGCAGGAGCTCCTGGGCGCCTTTGCTTTACTGAGTCACCTTAAATCTAATTGTCCTCTCCCTTGCTTCACCAAGGCTGGCGAGAAACTCAGTCTCAGCCACACAGAGGGAGTCGGACCCCTTCTGGGGGTTTATGTGGAGTCTGGGAAACCAAGGGTGGGGTGGGGCTTAGTACTGAATCCAGGAGGGGCCCCTATGGTCACCCTCACCTGTTTTTCTTCTCAATGCTCCCTGATCACTGGACCACTTGACACTGATATGTCCTCAGTGCTCAGGGTCTGGCTCTGCAGGCAGCCTGCAGCTAGCCCCCATCCTCCTTTCAGGGACAAATGGCCTTCCACCAAAGTCGGTGAGTGGAGGGACACAATGGCACTCCCCTTCCTGAGGAAGGGGCAGGGGAAGGGAGTCCCACAGTGGCAGTTACAGACAGGATGGACAAGAACACCTGCTCAGGAGTCAGACTGACAGGGTTCAAAGCTTTGTTCCAAGGTTTGACCGTGACAAGAATCACTTAGTAATAAGTGGTTATGCTCTGTGACCTTGAGTAAATTCCTTACCCTCTCCATGTCGCTGTGCCTGTGTTTCCTTACTTGTCAAATGGGATCAGAAGTTTCTTCCACACGAGATTGATATGTGGACGCCCCCAGGCCACTGTCCCCTCAGCTCAGGGTCCACCTCTTCAGAGACTGACCATGAGGCATGGGCCCATCATGCCTTTCAATCCTGGTTTTGCCAGGCAATACCTGAGTGCAGCATCCATCAATTAATACCTCTGCCACACCCAAACCTGGGAAGATTCCATCCTTCTTGGGCCCTGACCCACCCTTTTTGGCCCTGCCACCCAGGCTTTCTTCGTCTAAACTGGATCCCCTGAGGACTTCCAAGGGGAGAGCTGTTTTGTCTCCCATGAAGAAGAGGTTGGGGCCAGGCGAGGTGGCTCATGCCTGTAATCCCAGCACTTTGGGAGGCTGAGGTGGGCGGATCACGAGGTCAAGAAATGAGATAATCCTGGCTAACACAGTGAAACCTCATCGTTACTAAAAATACAAAAGAATTAGTCAGGTGTGGTGGCGCACACCTGTAGTCCCAGCTACTCGGGAGACTGAGGCTGGAGAATTGCTTGAAACCAGGAGGTGGAGGTTCCAGTGAGTCAAGATCACACCTCTGCACTCCAGCCTGGACAATAGTTGAGACTCCATCTCAAAAAAAAAGGTTGGTAGCCTTACTTCCTGTCTCCCTCCTTATAAGACCCCTTCTGCTGGGAGGTTGGTGCCATAGGTCATTCTGTCTCCTCCCTGCCTGGGGCTGCCACTCCACCTCATTTCTGGAATGCTTCAGTCTTCTCTCTCCAGCTCTTACCTCAATTTCATGTCACTCCATTATCCAAGAACTTTCCTGCCCCTTGACCTCTCAGTGACCCTCAGCATGATCACACTTGGAGGCTTCTCCTCACCCCAAATTCCTCTACATCCGAGGCAGGCTTCCAGCTCTCTGAACTTAACCTCGTTCCTTCTACCCGGAACATGTTCCCTGGAGCACCCGCTGGACCTTCTGGCTAGCCAACCCCTCCAAAGACACACCATACCCCACATTCTCAGAGCCACCCAGAACCACCATCTTTTCTATCTTGATGGCTTCCACCATTTCTCTCAAATGAATCCTTCCCATTGAAATGTGTCTAAATTAGCTCCATCCATCTTGACAGTGTCTTCCTATCTTTCCCCTAGTGTCAAGCCCCCATCATCCCTCTCCATCTCCCCTCCCTTTCCTCTTCCTCCTCAGCCCACCAGTTGACTTCTGCTCTCAGCCTGACTTCACTGGAACACCGCCCACTAAAGTACACCAATGGCCTCCATGTTGCTGAAGCCAATGGACATTCTTCAGTCCCATCCGGGCTGGCCCCTCAGGAGTCTGACATGTAGTTAGCACTCTGTCCTTCGTCTCTGGGGTGTGGCCCTGTCTGGGTTTCCTTTGCACCCTGGCTGCTCCCCGTCTGTGTCTTTCACAGGCTCACTCCAGCCTGGACCTGAGCCCTCTTCCCTGCTCTGGCTGCACAGTCTCCCTGGATCAGCTCCACACCCAGATGGTCTCCAGAGTCAAGACCTCCAATTCTCTCTCCTGACAGCCCCTCCTCTGTGCTCCAGGCAGTATCATCTCTGTCTCCATGTGCACATCTCAAACCCACAGGTCCAACAGTGAACCCCATGTGCTGTTCCCCCACCCCCACACCATGCCCTCTCTTCAGGGAATGGCTCCACCTTGCAAGTCACCCTGGACCCTGCCCTCTGCATCACTGCCAATCCTGATGATGCTTCCTCCTCCACCGACCTCCAGCCCATGCCCTTTTCTGCATCTCCACTCCCCCATCTCCCCTGGGTGCTGCTAGAGCCTCCTATCTGCCCCTGCTTTCCCTCTTGCCCCCTTCCATTTCATTCTCCACTGGGTGGCTTGTGGGATCTTTCCAAAATGCAGATCCAACTGGATCACCCTCCTGACTAAAGCCTCTCAACAGCTTGCTTCTACTCACATCAAAATCCCCTTCTCTGGCTGGGCTCAGTGGCTCACACCTGTAATCCCAGCACCTCGGGAGGCTGAGGTAGGCAGATCACTTGAGATCAGGAGTTCTCGACCAGCCTGGGCAACATGGTGAAACGCCATCTCTACTAAAAATACAAAAATTAGCCGGGCACAGTGGTGCATGCCTGTAGTCCCAGCTACTTAGGAGGCTGAGGCACAAGAATCACTTGGACCTAGGAGGTGGAAGTTGTAGTGAGCTGAGATTGAACTACTGAACTCCAGCCTGGGCAACAGAGCAAGACTATGTCTCAAAAAAAACAAACAAAAAAAAACACAAGTTGGGCACAGTGGCTCAGGCCTGTAATTCCAGCACTTTGGGAGGCTGAGGTAGGTGGATCACCTGAGGTAGGAGTTTGAGCCTGGCCAACATAGTGAAACCCTGTCTCTACTAAAAATACAAAATCCAAGCTTAACTTCGTTCCTTCTAGCCAGAATATGTTCTCTGGCTAGGTACATACCACCATGCTAAATTTTTTTTGTATTTTTAGTAGAGATGGTTTTTCACTGTTAGCCAGGATGATCTCAATCTCCTGACATCGTGATCCGCCCACCTCGGCCTCCTAAAGTGCTAGGATTACAGGCGTGAGCTACCGCCCCCGGCCCCAACCTCTGGCCAACACAGTGAAACCCTGTCCCTACTAAAAATACAAAAATCTGCTAGGTGTAGTGGAATGCACCTGTAATCCCAGCTACTCAGGAGGCTGAGGCAGGAGAATTGCTTGAACCCAGGATGTGGAGGTTGTAGTGAGCTGAGATTGCACTACTGCACTCCAGCCTGGGTGACAGAGTGAGACTCCATCTCAAAAAAAAAAAAAAAAAAAAAATCCCCTTCTCACAGTTCACAAGTCCCTCCAAGACCTTGTCCCTGCCCTCATCTACTCCCTGTCTTCCCTCCTTCTGCAATTGCTAAGCCCAGACTCACGACAAGCCACAGGGCCTTTGCACAAACTGTTCCTCTGCCTCCTTCCCCAGCACTCCCCGAGCGCCCTTCAAGTTCCCTCCCCTCATTCTCTGTGGCTATACAAATGTGATTTCCTCAGGGAAGCCTTCATCCCTCACCCTTTCCATCAGATCAGGTCACTTATCACGTGGGTGTTTGTACGTTTATCGCTATGGGTGTTGAATTAGCTTCTAGCGCTCTCAACAGACTGTAAGCCATGTGAGGACAGCAGCCTTGTCTCTCTCTGCCCACCATTGTATACCCAGTGCCTTGCACAGTGGCAGGCAGCCGGCGGACACTTAATAAATATTGTCTGAATGTAGCCAATGAGGTCATGTGTAACCTATGAGATGTAAGATGGGTACATCAGTAACTGAGGAAGGCTTCCTGGAGTGGGTAGGATTTGAGTAGCACCTAGCGCTGAGGAGGTTGCAAAAAGCAAAGCTTGTCAGCTAATGGACCTGGCCAAGGCATGCCTTCGTGTTGGATTTCATTTTTCGTTTGTAAAATGGGCAGGGGTTGGATAAAATGAGCTGAAGTTCTGGCATCCCACGGCCCTCCCTATTCCCACGAGAAGGGCTATCCTCCCCAGACACGGGCAGAGCCCAATTTTATGCACAGAATGGGTCCCCCCAAGCCCGGGCTGCCTGATCTGCAATTCCGCGCTCGGCCGCAGGGCGACGCCCGGAGACCAGCCACGCTGTCCTGAGTTCCGGCGAAGACCCGCCCGCGGCTCCATGGGTGCCCGGCCCGCCCCTCGCATGTCCTGCCCGCCCTTCCTGTCCATGGCGGCCGGGCCTACTGCCCCGAGCAGCCATGCTGAGCGCGCGGGCCTGTCTGGGCCGCGTCCTTCTGCTGCCCCGTGCCGGTGCAGGCCTCGCTGCGAGCCGCAGGTACGGGTGGGCCAGTGGGCCCCTAGGGCAGTCCCTGTGCCTGCCTGTGGCCCCAGTGGAGGGTCTTCCGGGCACTGGTCCAGTGTCTGCCTGGACCACCCCTGCATGCCTGGTCTTCCCCCACCCCACCTCCGATCTGCTCCGGAGACCTGGCCCTGGCAGTAAGCCCCTCTTCCCCTCCCCTTCCCTCCTCTCCACTACCCTTCCCTCCAGTGCCGTGCCAGCTCCCCAGAGACTGTTGATGCCACCTCCAGGAAGCCTTTCTTGCACCTCAGTGCTGGATGCTGGGTCAAGGGCCTTTCTCCAGTAGCACCCTGTGCCCTGTCATAGCCCTTTATTGTGGCATGGAGCTTTTAGGTCTCCCCACAGTGCCCACTTCCAGGCTGAACTCCCCGAGGGCTCTGACTGCCTAGGTGTCCCGGGGTCTGGCCCCAGACGTGGCCCCACAGGAGTCCTAGCAGGTGCACATTGAATGAGGAAGTCCCTGTGTCTAGTTTCCTTTGTTTGTCCCTCACCTGGTCCAGTCCCAGACCCTGCAGATCTTGGCCCATCCAGCCACCAACACTGGGTCACCTTCCGGTGGGGCCACACCCAGGCCTGCCAGAGAGATGCCTCCCTGCAGCTGCTCTAGGGAAGGAATGGAACTCCAAGAACCATTCCGCCCATTGTGACACGCCCTGACCTCACAGCCACCCTTCCCATCGCCAGGCCCAGGAGGTTGGGGGAGACTAACCTGGCAAGGAGCCCCCAATGAGCCACCTTTCCTCACCCCCAAAAAAACATAAGGGGGAGCACAAAGGCCACAGTCTCCCCCGTGGTTCAGAAAGGTGGGTTGGGCTGGGCGCAGGGGTTCTACAGGGGTGCTGAGTGGAATGGGGCAGGTGCTGGAGGGCCTGGGCGAAGGTGGGTGGAGGCCCCTGGCTTGCCTGACCCAGTGGTCCTCGCTAGGGGTAGCTCCTCCCGGGACAAGGACCGAAGTGCGACGGTCAGTAGTTCAGTGCCCATGCCTGCTGGAGGGAAGGGAAGCCGTCCTTCATCTACACCCCAGAGGGTCCCCAACCGCCTGATCCATGAGAAGTCACCATACCTTCTACAACATGCCTACAATCCTGTGGACTGGTGAGCACCAATCCTGGGGCCCTGCCTAGAGTTGCTGGGGTCCTAGACCCCTCCCAGACCCCTTGGGCTACTGAGTGATGCCCCACCCTGCTGGGCCTAGGTACCCCTGGGGACAGGAAGCCTTCGACAAGGCCAGGAAGGAAAACAAGCCAATTTTTCTCTCAGGTAATGCTCCCATCTTCCCTGATTGGGGGAGGGGGGGTTGGTGCGGTGTGCACAGGGAGTGGCAATGGATGGGGAGGGTCCCCTTGGCCTGGTGGGTCTCCCAGGAAACTAGAGGCCAGGACCTCTTGGCCAGCCTCCATCTGACCCATTGCTGGCCCCCTGACCTCTCCCCGTGGTCCTGTTCAGTCGGGTACTCCACCTGCCACTGGTGTCACATGATGGAAGAGGAGTCCTTCCAGAACGAGGAGATCGGCCGCCTGCTCAGCGAGGACTTTGTGAGCGTGAAGGTAGACCGAGAGGAACGGCCTGACGTGGATAAGGTGTACATGACGTTCGTGCAGGTGTGCAGCCCTTCTTGGGAATATACACGCCACAAGGCCTCAGGGCGGCTCCCCTCACCCTCGCCCTCTCTCCGCCAGGCCACCAGCAGCGGCGGGGGCTGGCCCATGAATGTGTGGCTGACTCCCAACCTCCAGCCCTTTGTGGGGGGCACCTATTTCCCGCCTGAGGATGGCTTGACCCGAGTTGGCTTCCGCACAGTGTTGCTGAGAATACGGGAACAGGTGGGTGTGCCTCAGGGAGTCGGGTGGGACCAGGGTGGAGGCTAGGAAACAAGAGCCCCTCCCCTCAGCTGACCTCCAGGTGTGCCCCCACCACCCACAGTGGAAACAGAACAAGAACGCCCTGCTAGAAAACAGCCAGCGTGTCACCACCGCCCTGCTGGCTCGATCAGAGATCAGTGTGGGCGACCGCCAGCTGCCACCTTCTGCGGCCACCGTGAACAGTCGCTGCTTCCAGCAGCTGGACGAGGGCTACGATGAGGAGTACGGTGGCTTCGCTGAGGCCCCCAAGTTTCCCACACCGGGTCAGTACTTCATGCCTAGCTTTGGACTTCTGATTCCTGCGCTGGTCAGGGACTTTCTGGCTCCTGGCTTCACCTGTAGCTTCCTGTCCTCCTGACTGGCAGTGACCTCCTTGCCCCAGCCTCCCGGCAGCTATCAGTGAAGACCTGATTGCTGGTCTTAGCAGTGACCCTCTCCCCTTGACCTAGATAGTGACCTTCTGTCCTCTGACTTGGTCAGTGACCCAGTGACCCTGGCTTGACTAATGACATTCTGGGCTCTGGGGTAACAAGTAACTTTCTGGTCCTCTGTCAGCCAATGATATTCTGACCTCTGGCTTGGGCTATGACCTTCTGTCCTCTGGGTTGACTGCTGACCTCTCAGCCTGTCCAGAGACTGCCTGTTGAGTAAACTCCCGGCCTCTGCCTGGCCCAAGGCCTGCTGCCCACCTTGATCTCCATTCCCGCTTCTATTCTCTCACCCCCATGTTCTTGGTGCCCCCACAGTGATCCTGAGCTTCCTGTTCTCCTACTGGCTCAGCCATCGGCTAACTCAGGATGGCTCTCGGGCCCAGCAGATGGCCTTGCATACCCTGAAAATGATGGCCAATGGGGGCATCCGGGACCATGTGGGGCAGGTGATGGGCACTGGGTGTTCCCTGGAGGGGCAGCAGGAGGCCGTGGGGTGGGACAGAGGCTGGGACTGGCCTCTGGCTTTGCATCCTATCTGGCACAGGGCTTTCACCGCTACTCCACAGACCGCCAGTGGCACGTCCCTCACTTCGAGAAGATGCTCTATGACCAGGCACAGCTCGCTGTGGCCTATTCACAGGCCTTCCAGGTGCTCCCTGATCCCGGCCCAGAGAACAGCCATCTAACCCTGGCTGTCCCTCCCAAAGCCTTCTTAATCTGCACCCCCAGTTCCCTCCCATGCACTCATTACCCAGGCTCCCCCCTCCACCTGCCTCAGAGAATGTTGCCCCTTCCACCTGGGCCTCCCCAGTGACCGCTCTTCACAGCCTCCTTTCTTCCCTTTCTTAGATCTCTGGTGATGAATTCTACTCTGACGTGGCCAAAGACATCCTGCAGTACGTGACTCGGAGCCTGAGCCACCGGGTGTGTGTCCATGGAGGCAGGCGAGCCTGGCTGCGGGAGGGGTCGGGACCTCCACTGCCCTGCGAGCTGGGGCTAGCCAACTCTTCCCCCCCGACACACAGTCCGGAGGCTTCTACAGCGCGGAGGATGCAGACTCCCCCCCAGAGCGGGGCATGCGGCCCAAAGAGGGCGCCTACTACGTGTGGACAGTCAAAGAGGTCCAGCAGCTCCTCCCAGAGCCTGTGCTGGGTGCCACCGAGCTGCTGACCTCAGGCCAGCTCTTCACGAAGCACTACGGCCTCACAGAGGCTGGTAACATCAGCCCCAGTCAGGTGAGGACTTCTGGGGTCACTGGATGGGCCCTGGTGCCTGCCAGGCTTGTGAGCTTGCAGACAAAGACCGTTCTCCTCAGGACCCCAAGGGGGAGCTACAGGGCCAGAACGTGCTGACCGTCCGGTACTCGCTGGAGCTGACTGCTGCGCGCTTCGGCTTGGGTGTGGAGGCCGTGCGGACCTTGCTCAATACGGGGCTGGAGAAGCTCTTCCAGGCCCGGAAGCATCGGCCCAAGCCGCACCTGGACAGCAAGATGCTGGCTGCCTGGAACGGTGGGGCTGCCCGTCTGAGACCCAGCCTGTCGGTTGGATCCCCCTTCACAAAGTCCCCGTCTCTCAGGCACCTGCTAAACGCTCACTCTCCCTTTATTAGGGTTATTATTCTCAGTTAACAGAGGCTTAGGGAGCTTGCATAACCCGCCCAAGGTCAGGCACAAGGGCTGAGAACCGTGCCTGGGAACGCCCACCGTGCCTGGCTCTGGAGGCCAAGGTCTTAGGGCTCAGCCGTGGCTCCAGGGAGGTGTTAGGGCCTGCGGTGTCAGGGTGGACATGCCGGGAGGGTCCTGGCCACCTTCTCACCGCTACTTGTCTCTCCTGCCTCCAGGCTTGATGGTGTCAGGCTATGCTGTGACTGGGGCGGTCCTGGGCCAAGACAGGCTGATCAACTATGCCACCAATGGTGCCAAGTTCCTGAAGCGGCACATGTTTGACGTGGCCAGTGGCCGCCTGATGCGGACCTGCTACACCGGCTCTGGGGGGACTGTGGAGCACAGGTTGGGGGCTGGGTAGAATGGGAGGGTCATCTCCCCACGCATCCCCAGCCTACCTCTGCCCGACTTCTCCCCTCCGTGTGGACTCCAGTACTGGCTCTGCCAGGTGCTTGCTGTGAGTTCGTAGCCTCCCTGGGCCCATTTCCTCATCCGGGAAGTGGGCTGATAGTACCTGCTTGGGAGGGTTCATTGGGAGGGTTCAGTGAACACATTCATGAAAGGGCCTCTGGGAAAGGGCCTCTCCCCCAACCCCTCCCCTAATGCCTGTCCCCCAGCAACCCACCCTGCTGGGGCTTCCTGGAGGATTATGCCTTTGTGGTGCGGGGCCTGCTGGATCTGTACGAGGCCTCACAGGAGAGTGCATGGCTCGAGTGGGCTCTGCGGCTGCAGGACACGCAGGACAGGCTCTTCTGGGACTCCCAGGGTGGCGGCTACTTCTGCAGTGAGGCTGAGCTGGGGGCTGGCCTGCCCCTGCGTCTGAAGGACGGTCAGTGGGGGTGCAGGGCTAGTCTGGGGTCCTGGGAGGTGTGAGTGCAGCGTGGGTGATGAGCTGGTGTGGGCAGGAGCCCTCCTGGCTTCCTGTCTCTGCTACTTATTAATGGTGTGATTTTTGGCTGCTGTGATATTTCTGAGTCTCAATTTCTTTTTTTTAAATAGTGACAAGAGTCTTGCTATGTTGCCCAGGCTGATCTTGAACTGGGCTCAAGCGATCCTCCCACCTTGGCCTCCCAAAGTGCTAGAATTACAGGCATGAACCACCACTCGGCCTCTTTCATTTCCCTTTTCTTTTCTTTTCCCTCCCTCCCTCCCTCCCTCTCTCTCTCTTTCTCTTTTCTTTTCTTCTCTCTCCTTCTTTCCTTCGTTTTTTTTTTTTTTTTGAGACAGTCTTACTGTCACCCAGGCTGGAATGCAGTGGCACAATCTTGGCTCACAGCAACCTCTTCCTCTGGGGCTGAATCAATTCTCCCACCTCAGCCCCCTGAGTAGCTAGGACTGCAGGATTTTTTGTACAAATGGGATTTCTCTATGTTACCCAGGCTGATCGCAAACTACTGGGCTCAAATGATCTGCCCACCTCAGCCTCCCAAAGTGCTGGGATTACAGGCATGGTTCACCGTGCCTGGCCATTTTTTTTTTTTTTTTTTAAGAAAAGAGATGTGGTCTTACTGTGTTCCCCAGGCTAGTCTCAAACTACTAGGCTCAGGTGATCCTCCCACCTTGGCTTCCCAAATGCTGGGACTACAGGCGTGAGCCACCATGCCTGGCTGGTAACGAGGTTTGAAGTGGAT